CAAGTAAATCAGACGAAGCAATATATCGCCAGGAATGACTGAACTCAATTAAAAAGATTTCCACTTTCTAGGGATGCCTGTGATGATGTCATTCCACTTTTCTCTAGTTTGTGCAGATAACTCATATAAGTAATGGCAATTATCAAACTGAATTAAATTATAAAGTCTTTTGAGTGGGATACTTTTTGAGCAGTACTTGAAATGGAGCCCTGGGTTTTGCACATGCTAGACAAGTGCTGTACCACAGAGGTGCATCTGCCCTTAGATTTTTTTTGAGTTGGGGTCTTCCTGAATAGGCTAAGTTGGCCCTGAATCCATAATCTTCCCGCCTCACCCTCCCAAGTGCAGAGATTAGAGCCCTGGGCCACCACTCCCAGATGCGTGTTCTTTTGATGACATCTCCCTCTGCTTCATCCTCTGTCCATCCGTCCACCTTTGCCATTTCCTTCTTTCTGCAGTCACTTATGGGAACCAACAAGGGGATAACATTAAGGGTCAGAGTTAAACTAAGATCTGGGCTGAGCTCTCTAGAAGTCTACACTCTCGTTAGTTAGTCACCTCTCCTTGGCCTGCAGATTGATTGCCATACCATGACCAGTGTGATTTCATTAAGGAAAAGGAACGAGAGACAGAGATGGACACATGAGCAGCAAAACGTACTTCCTACCATGGTGACTTTAGGGATTTTATTTCATTTACTTTGGACATCCTCTGAGAATGTAGCAACTACATGAAAGGAAACAACCTGAGAAGGCCAGGAAATTTGTCCAAGTTCTTAGCTAGGGACTGATGGGAAAATCAAGATGCTGATGATGCTGATGATGCTGATGATGATAAGTGCTGCCAGGAACCCTCAGCAAATGCTATGGTGGTGCCATTTTTCAGTTAATGTGTGCTGGCTTCCAAATTTATTCTGAAATGATTTTCCATTACCATTAGTGTTTTCTCCACTAGCTAATTCACTTGTTTCAAATTATATTACCAGATACGCTCATTTACATTATGCAACTGGGCCCCTTTCATTGTTTGTGTCCTTTCTGTAGGATTTTAGGCCTTGTGTCATTTCCATGTCTCCACATAGGGAGCAAACTGCCTGCTCACGGTCCTCCTACCCGCCAGCAATCCCAATAAAAGTAGCTAGCAAGCACTTGCTCCACCTACAGTATTGTCATAAGAGCTTTGCACGCATTAACTAATTTGATATTCAAACAGGATGACAGTACGTTTGCTGCCTTTATTCTATAGAGGAGGAAAGGCAACGTTTCTAAACAGGGCACACACAGTCATGCATTCTCAAGGGAAGAAATCTCTTATAAAGTATTTAAATATGTTTTTCTATGTTTCAAAGTGCTTTCCTCCCAACAGCCATCCCCACAAGGCTAGGATCAGGAAGTTTTCTTATTAAAAAAAACCCAGATAACAAACATGTGTTGTGGGTCAAATTCTGTTTCTGCCACATTCTTTCCTTGTTTTTACTATAACCTTTTAAAAATGTAAAAACAAAGAAACATCCTCATGCACACACCCTTAACCATTACTTTGAACAAAAACAAGCTGAAGACCAGAAGGAGCTGAGGAAGGTGGTTTGTAAGCCCCTTCCACCACCTCTTAACCAACACACCAGCCTCTCCAGAGTGAAATGGACATTGTGGTTCTTGTGAACACATTATTTCTTTTCATTTCAGGTCTCCCCTACCTATACCACTTTAAAATGTAATCTACATTCTTCTGGCATCCCACAGGCAACAAAAATAAAACTCTGAACAGCAAGATTGTGACAATTTCCTATAACCCTAAGGGATGACTATCTTGGAGGGTGAGGGATTGTTTTCACTTCACCCTCTAGCTCCTTCACCCTCAACCCAAGCTGCCCCACTGATGTGACTGAGCCCCAGGCTGCAGAAGACCTCATCGGTTTTCTGAAGGTCTCATACCCACAAGTGAACTCCTACCACAGCCCTTCCTGTTTAGGATTTTGTTCTTGGAAAATTCTTCCCATTGAATTTCCTCATTTTACTAGGACGTCTGGTCCACATTTCCTGTACTCTAGACCTCTCCTTTAGGTTCTGATTTAGAGCAGAGAGTGGTTAACAGAGCTGTGGCTGAGATGGTAAGGAAGTTGGGAGGTTGGAGATCAACATCAGGCAGGTCTTAAGAATATACCATCTGGTAAACATTTCCTGTACTCTAGACCTCTCCTTTAGGTTCTGGTTTAGAGCAGAGAGTGGTTGACAGAGTTGTGGCTGAGATGGTAAGGAAGGAAGTTGGGAGGTTGGAGATCAACATCAGGCAGGTCTTAAGAATATACATGTGTTTTGGTGTGAGATATAAACATCCAGTTAAAAAACAGAGCACAGTGGTTCCCTCTTGGTATTAGCATTCCTTGGTCCCTTGGGGTGGCCACACAGTGCAATTCCGGCCAATCAGATCAAATAACAGAAGTTGTCTAGGGATGCTTCATTCGTCCTTTGTCACCACTCCTCCTTCATACCTCGGCAGTGAGCACAGTGACAAGAGTTAAGGCTATCATCTAGCCACAATGACAAAATAAAAAGAAAGCTCCAGGACAATCACAGCCACTTGCACTAACAACCTCCACCCACCGCCTCACTGGGGAAGGTTTAATGAGAGAGAAAATGAAAACAACTGTCTTGCTTCCATCAGGATTTGGGATTTTCTCTGTGCAGTGGAGCACAGTTCCTTCCGGATAAACTGCTCTCATTCCATTCTTTTTTTTTTCCAGTTTCCCTTTGACATTTATTGAACCCTTATGACATGTAGGCAATAGGAAAGGAAGCAAATACCCTTGTTATTGAGGATTTTGCTTCCCCAAATTAAGAAATTGATGTATCTCCAGAAATCTAGTTCATTATGAACTGTCCTGGCTACAGTGGCCATGAAATCCTCACCGTACTTTTGCTAACAGCTTATTGATTCCTGACAGATAAGGAGGTTGTGTATGCTCTCCACCTGAGCTGCAGGGTGAGGTCAACCCTTAGGTCCCTGTCCTTCCTCATATATCATGAACATTATATCCCACCACCCATCACTCAGCACCCACAAATGTCCGTAACAACATTTCTTAAGCATACATGTAACTCTCTCTTGTACATTCTCACGTCTCAGTTACAAAGCCTGAAAGTTGTTAAAGTAGTAAGCTTCTGTAATGTGTCTACTATGCTGATAATTCTTAAACACACTTCTAAATGCCAGTCCCTTTCTTTGAAAAGGTAATCATGATCCTAGTTGTAGCATCTTATTTTCAAACATTGTCTTACCTGGTTTTTGTCAAGTGAAAATTTTGAAAGGTCTTCATGACTTCCCAAAATTCCAAATTTCTTTTCTTCATTTCTCTTTTAAAGATAGATGGTAAAATGAATCCAATAGCATGGCCAATTTTTACTCTTCATTCTGTATTCCAAAAGTCATCTGGTCTAATTCCCCAGGAAGTTTTAATGAGAGAAACATAACTCTTTTTGGTTCTTCCCTTTGGCAAGTGCTTGGACATTTCTTTGGACTCTAAATTGTTCCAGGTTGTGTTCTAATCAAACCTGAAAACTACACACTTAATTACATTAAGTAAAGTAAGGGCATCTTTTTCCACTCGACCTACTGACATTTGGAGGATGGCCACAGATGCTGCGTTTTCCTTAAATTCCTATGCAGTCATCAAAATAATAAGCTTTAAAGAGGGCTTTGGAACTTTCAAAGAATTTCACATATTTATTGTGTTTAATCTTTACAATGTAGATGTAATTTTTATCCCTGTTACTAGATTATGATTGAAGAAATCAGAACTCAAAGGGCTTGTTACTTACTTGAGATCCCCATGCAGTACGAGTCAAAGGGAGCAGTGATTAAGCACATTTCCCATCTGTTCTATGACAAAACTTAACATTGCAAGGAACCTTCAAATCTCTTGGCCCAATTGCCTACCCAATCTAGGAAGGAGCGTCTGTCTGTTCCTAATGTTGGACATTCATCATTTACTGGTTGCCTACAAATCTATGGGCAATCAACTTCCCAAGACAGCCCACTGATCTGTTGGGTATTGCTCATCATTAGAAATTTGTTCTTTCATAAAACTGAAATTGAACTATTTATAACTTTTTCTCATTTTTATCCATTTTTGAAGAGACCAAATAAAAAAGGTACACTCTCTAACCAAAAGTGGGTGTTCTAAAGAAATTCTCAGTCCCTTCAAATTCCTTTTTCAGAAGAAACCAATAGCTCCTTCAGTTCCCCAGATATATACACATACACACACCCCACTTGGATCCACCCTGATCCACCTCTTCTGGAAGCACGGAGTGTCTCAACTCCTCCTGGGAGACATTCTATACCCATCAGAGATCTTTGCATAGGGAACACCCCTCCCTCCAATCCCCAAGTATACACAGCATTCCATGTGTTTGAAATACAACTAGGCGCACTGCGAACTCCCACCCTGTCATCTGAACACTATTCCTTCTTTCATGGTTTCTCGAAATTTCCTTGCATAATGGGGTTATTATTCCAATTAGTAGTTGTTGATATTTGTCTCTCCAGCACCTTACTGCAGACACTGCCTCCCGTATTGCATGTGAACAATCAGTTCTGAACTTTGCAATACAAAAGTCATTTAAGAGTTGTCAGGTTCTGACCAGGCATTAATAACTGTTGATGCTTTCCCTAGCTCTATAAATAGATAGTGAAGTCAGGAACATGTAGCATCAACAGCAAAACAGAATCCAAATGTTCTCCCTTTCAGAGACCACTCTGGACAATGTTTTATTTTAGTTATATTTCATGAATTTTTCTTGAATTATTTTAAGTAGAAAATATCCAAGGTGCTCCTGTTAAATAGTTGCCAGACCAAGGACTTGAATGCATTCAGTGACTGAGTGTGGAGATGGAGGGACATGATCCTTTCATGGATTGTTTCTTTTAAAGGATGTGGCTCAGTTGTTACCATGGTGATAGCAGGTAAGACTATAATAATAAATTATTCAGTCAATTACCTTGTTCATCTCTGCATCCTCTTGGAAGCCTTTCTTACGACCCTGGACCAGATCATAAATCCATTTCTTAAACTTCAATAAGAGATAAAACAGGGACTTTGGACTTGGCACCAGGTTGAAGGGAACAGGAAGAGTTCTCCCCTCCTCAAAATAGGAAAACCAAAGTTTGGCCCTTGCAAATTTCCACTCCACATCAGCATCATCCTGTACAAATAGATGTGACCAATCAGCAAGGAAATATATAGGTTTATCAGGATTTTCCAGCATTGCCTGGTTAGGTGGACGTTACAATACCTACAAGTAGTCCAAGATTCCAAAACTGAAAACTTCAAGATTGTTGTATATTGTAGCTGCATATTCTCCTGAAGACTATTGGAAATTTTATTGTACTTCCCACACTTCCAACCTAAAATCCTACATGTGTTTTATAAATACACTGCCAGGCATTAATGAATTTTCTTACATTCTAAAGCACTCTGTGAGTAGTCGTTCTGCATTAGATCACTCATTAATTCAGGCCAAGACTTTTGGAATAAAAACATACAATCACTACCAAATTGAAAATATTATTCAAAAAATATTTTAAAACATTGTTTATAAGCAATAATTTTCCCTTCTGTTTTTGTTATTTTTGAGATGGTCTTCCTGTATAGCCTAGTCTGAAACTGATGTTGATCGACATGCCTCAGCCTCCCAATTGTTGGGATTATAGGCATAGGCCGCCACACCAGGCTGTAAGCAGTAATTGTTCAATAAAATAAAAGTTAATTGCCAGACAGAGTGGCACATGCATTTGGAGATGGAAACAGGAGGATGAGGAGTTCAAGGTCATCTTCTGCCTTCTGCTACTCAGCAAATTTCAGGTTTGTTTAAACTACATGAGATCCTGTCTCAAAAAGAAGTAAAACCAAAATAAATATTCATCCATTATAATACTTAAGGTTATTAAAAAATAATAATAAACCGGAAATTTCTATTCCTTGGGCCTTGCTGACCCATCACATCCCATCAATATTGTATCTTTAAAGCAAAGTTAAAGTTTTCAAAATTTCTAGATAGACACTTGTCAAACAAGCATAAAATAGTAAAAGAAGGGGCTTGAGCGATGGCCTAGCGGGTAAGAGCACTGGCTGCTCTTGCAGAAGACCTGGGTTCGATTCTCAGTACCTACCTGACAGCTAACAACCATCCATAACTGCAGTTTCCAGAGTAATTCAACACCCTGTTCTGACCTCCATGGTCATTACATGACACAGGTACAGTTACATGTATGTAAGCAATACACCCATATATATAAAGTAAAAATTAAAAAAATTAATGGAAAAAGGACAAAGGAGAGTGAGCCAGCAGTCCACATTCCATTCCACTGCTTATTTGGTCCCTAGAATACCCTGAAGATGTAAACATATACTGTAAGAATGTATAGATTTTATACCTCGATCTCCTGGAATGAACTGTTGATCATTGCAATCAACATATTCAGCAAAACAATGACCATTGTGACATTATAGACCCCGTACAGAACATAGCCAATGTTTTCAATGAACTTGTGATTATAGTTGATGACCACTGACTTTACTTCAGAAAGTCCAAAGATAGCCCAGAACAGAGTCTTAAAACTTTCTTCAACTCTGTGGAAAAATAATAGAAAGGGGGAAATGAGACAAGATATAAATATATAATAATGGTATCATGGTAAATTTTAGTTGATTCAGTATCCTTGTTAACTATTAATGTGAGAAAAAATTTTGTCTGAATTTCCACTTTCTTTTCTGTAAAATGGGTAAAATAACAGTTACTTTTAGGATAGTTCCAAGGATGTGATATTGTGCATATGAACCACATAGGTTACTATTCAACACTGAATAGGCACTCAGCACAGGCTATAACAAACTTTATAACCAGGGATATTAACATTTAAATGGAAAACTTTGGCAATGGAAAAGTTAAATGAATTGCTTGACAAAAATAATACAATTTGTTAGAGTCTTTTATGTTTCTAGTTCATCTGTACTTTCAGACCCAATAAAAATAAAATAACAGCATGTATCTTCAGGGGAAACCGGACAATATAAGTATGGACAACGGCACCTGAATCCCTGTCACACTTTAGGAGGAATTTCTATGCTATAGGCATAATTATTTGACCAGAGTTAATGCCATCTGTTTAACCCAGGTGGCTTCATTTTCCCTTGAAGCACTGAATTTTAGAGTAATATGAAAAACAGGCTATGCTTCAGCTGCTGTTCCTTATGGAAACACTGAAGATCTAACATTTCGGTCATGCAATCCAAACAGTTCATGCAAAACACATGCATCTGTGTGAATGTGAGTCACAATCTTGTCACTGTTGGTAACTCAGTTTCAATGATAAGGTCTGGGGAAGTGAACTGGGAAAGCAGTTTTCTCACATTCAGAGCCCTCAAGAGTCTCTATTAAACAGGAAGGTGCAGGATTTTAGGGCAGTGGATGCTAGTTAGTGAACAAGAGGCCATGCCCCAGTTTTCTCACGTGTCAACTGTCACAGAACATCAGCACATTGTTTAGCTTTTGTAAATTTTGGATTCTTCTTTATGTGAAATGTAGATAATAAAGGTATGTGTGAGAGGTCTTTGTCATACTACTGGGCTTTAAAAATGCTAATTATTGTTATTTGACATGTCTCTGTCCTTCAAGTCCTTTTAAAATCCTCTCATCTCACAGAGGTGGAAACAAAGAAATCTTTATGAACATACAGACCTACATGAATGCTACTAAACTAATCCTTTTCTAATTTGCAATTTCTTCATCCAAACCTCTGAGAACACATACGTTGTGAAGGCCTCGTTCTGCTTCGCACCAATGTAGTAGGAGTAGAGGTTGAACATTCCAATCATGAAGGCCACAAACACCATGATGAATATGACCATGAACTTGAAGATGTCTTTTACGGTTCTTCCAAGTGATATCTGCAGAGGCCCAAAGCTTTCATTTGCTGGTAAAATATAAGCTATTCTGGAGAAACTTAAAACCACAGCAATTGCATAAAGACCTTCAGATATAATTTGAGGATCAGAAGGGTCCCACTTTATCCTGGCTAGGAAAAATCAAAGACAGGGGTTATGGTAAGTTTCTTCAGGCTGTTTACTCAGGTAAATTCTTTTCTGAGAAAAAACAAAAACAAAAACAACTCCTCATATAATTATATTAGCAATCTAGTTCACAATTGGAAGTCTCTGATCTAAAGATCTTCTTAAGTATCAGCTGTATTTGAGCTAAAATTATTGACAAGGTGATTTGCTACCAATTTTCCATAGGGGTATAGCATAATAATCAAGAACTGAAACTGTACATTTGGTAGCTCTAAAATTTCCAGTAGACCAATCGGTCAGCTGTCTATATCAATATCTATATGCCAAGCAGAAAGACCAGATGCAAACTATTCCTCTTGGCTTTAGTCTCCTCTCTGACAATGAGATAACACCTCTCTCATGTCTCTCATCTGTTGTGACAATTCAGTAAGTTCACATACGTGCAGTACTTCAAAAGCACTTGATACTTAATCAATTGTAGCATTATTATTCAATCTTAAACTCTACAGTAAAATGTCATTTGGGACTTATGTAATTCTTGAAGTTATTTAAATTTGCTAGAAATAATTTTTATTGTACACTAAAATATGTTTATTTTTACCACAAAAAATTCTATAATTCAGTAATGAATTTTCTGGTATTCTTACATCAAATCATCAAAAACCTACTTAAGAAACCATTATGAAAAAAAATTCAGAAGAGTAAGAAAGGGGAAAATATAATTATAAATTTGCATTTACTCATTTTATGAGAAGTATAATTAGAAAGGAATAACAAGAAAATAACATACTGTGTTATAGGCTTCAAATAGAGGTATTATCTATAAATAAATGTCTCTGAGTTTTTAAATCCTTTATTCTTGAAACTCCTTAAAAGAATGATTGAAATAAATATCATGAATTATAATGAGAAAGGTCCTTAGTGATATATTTCAAACCCATTATATACTAGTTGAATGTCAATGAATTTCTTACCAAAGGATTTAAAATAAATACTCAGAGGGATTAAATTGTCTCCAAGCCAAGTTTTCTATGAGGAGTGGGGGGTAATTATCCTTCAGCAAATAACTGAATCTATTTCCATGCCTTGATTATTCTTCTCCTGGAGATGTAGAATAATTTATGTCATTTGTTAACCTGGGATGAGTGACAGAGTCTATTTGGATCATTGGCTCATCATCACTCTTCCTCTTAGGAATTCTCTGGTCTGCACAGAAGTGTCTCCCGTGATTAGCTCCTTAGTACCAGCACCATCCCACGCCTTATTGAAAGGATCGCCCTGGTCCTTTGCTTGTTGAAATTGGAGGATAATACTTCCAAATCCTGATACTCAATCTTAGTGACCCCATTGACTAATGAGCTCAGAAGAATGGCATCCACTCTGATTTTTCATCAGTATAAGAAGTGATATTCTGGATGTCTGGACTCCCTAGTCTTTATTTGGGGGGGAGGGCAGTATTTTGCAACTCATTCAATGCCTGGTTGGAAAATAATGATGTTATTTACTGATAGCTCTTTTAGAAACATCAAAATTTCTGCTTTCAAACAGTTTATATATCTTAAATGGAAAGAGGACTCATATGCAAACTTTTAAAAATTATGTATATTTATGGGTTTGATGTCATATTTTGATGTATGTTGACCTCTCATAATGGTTAAATTGATAGAATTAGCATATTAATCACCTCAGATCCTTTTTCTTCATGGTGAGAACATTTAAATTTTACTGTCTCAGCAATTTCCCATGTGTGGTACATTATTATCAGTTATGGGCACTGTACTGTAAAACAGAACACCAGTGCTTCTTCCTTGGACCTCCGACCACACCTTTCTATTCCTGTCAATCACTATTACTCTACTGGCACGAGATGGCATGGATAATTGAGACCATGAAGTCTTTCCATGCCTGTCTTGTTTCACAATGCATGACATCTTCCAAGTTCATCCATCCCTCGCAGAAATCACCTTCCTTATTTTTCAAAGCTCAGTACCATTCCCATGATGTACCCCTAGCTCAAATGTGAACTTTCTCGCTCTGTTTTGACATTCCATAGTTATTGGCCATATTCAATCAGACAGGTATCTGATGAGCTCTACAATCAATGAGATATCCTATTTAAGCGCTCAAGACAAAGCCTGCATTCAGAAGGCCACATTTGATCCTGTGTTCCTACTCAAAGCTGCTCTTATGTAAGCATCATAAATAGAGCTTGTTCAGTTCCATTCATTGATTGAACACTTAAATGAGTTTAAAAAGAAAAAGAATTGGCAGGTTACTGAAATATATAGGAAATCTGCAGCAAGATCCCTGATTTCCTAGACTGTCAAACACATGGATTTTTGTAAAGCCAAAATAAGAGGGTTTTACTAAAGACCTTCAGAACTAAAGAGATTCTCTCTTTCATGACATGGAAGACATGATGGCTAAAGGACAGACATTCTATTCTGGTTCTCTTTAGAATTATTGTCAAATGTGAATTCTTTTTAAAAGTATTTTAGTTATTGTTTTTATTTTATGTATATGCGCACATTGCTTACATGTAGGTAAGTGTACCCGTGTCGTGCAATGCCCACAGAAGTCAGAAGAGGCTGTCAGATCCCCTGCAACTGGCATTACAGACAGTTGTTAGCTGCCATGTGGGTGCAGGGATTCGAATCCGGGTCTTCTGCAAGAACAGCCAGTGTTCTTAACTGCTGAGCCATCTCTCCAGCCCCATAATGTGAATTCTTTTAATAAACAGAAAAAATACAGGGATAAAAAGATGGCTCAGCAGTTAAGAACACTTGCTGCTCTTGTAGAAGAATCAAGTTCAGATCCTAACACCCATGTTGAGCAGCTACCAACTGCCTGTAACTCCAGCTCTGGGGGATCTGATACTGTCCTCTGGTGTCTGTGGGTCATGTATGTTGGAAACACACATATAGACAGACACATATAAAATTTAAATTAAAACCATAAAAAACATAAATATAAGACATGAGACAGACATGCTCCATAGAGTTTGGTTGCTGTCCAGCTGACCCAAAAGATAAAGGAAGATGGTCCTTGAGAAAGGTTTCCAATTGGTAGATAAATCAAAGGAAGAGGCCAAAAGTAGTGTTCTTCAAATGCAGATGCCATCCAGACATTTTATGAGAATTGGGAAATTTTTAAAAAACTGTTGATGTCTCTTTTACACTCAAGTGTTATATTTTCACTATTTTATGCAGTAATGTATACTCACCCAGATTGTAGTATTTTACATTGTCTCCCAGTGAGACTTTTGTCAAGTCCTTCAATGTGTCGTTCGCATCAATGATGCTCTGTGCTTTGGATGCATGCCAGAATGCCATGAATCTTGCAATGAACGATGCAGCAAAGATCGCCAGCATCCCAAAATCAAGCATATTCCACAACTCAAATAAGTATTCTTTGGGACCTTGAGCCCAAATTTCTTTGCATTCAGCCCATATCATGCCTGCATTAGAAAGGGGTTAAGATGTCAATTCAATTTCAGTACAGCTTTAGCTCTTCCACGAAGCAAGGTCTGACCTGGCAATCAAAACCTTTCTGAAGTTAACCCCAGCCTTCCTCTCCAGCCATAGTCCATTACCTGAAACACATGAAATAGAGTTCATCAAGCGTCTTGAATGAAAAGCACCCAACTGATGCATTATTTCTACTGATGAAAGAACACTTATGATGTTCGTTATAGTAACCAGACCACAATGTACCCCCACACTCAAAATGAAAGTGCTAATGACACTTCTTCAGTGGGAGAATTACACGGACATTTAATACGATAGCTCACCTATTACTGTGTGGCAATTGTCACAGGAATGTGCAATGCTGACCTCTAACTACAAAACTTTCATTGACCATGGGTCCCAGCTACTACTTTCTGAAAACCATTGCCACTTCTCCCAAGACCGTACCTACTGTGAGCTGTTTCCAGACAAAGAATGAGAGAGACATGGGACTCCTCTGACAGGGACCTTGACTCAATGATTTGTTGATGGTCTTGCCAAACGTCCTTATTCTGAATGGAGACAAAAATGTCTGTGACCTAAGATGCCTTCCTTCCCTTTCCAACTCTCAGAGTTTGATGTGTACCCCAATTTGACAGCCCTTGTGGTTTTTCTTGGCTCTCTTCATATTTTCTCTCACAGGGAAACTTTGCTTCATAAAACTGCATTTTCCTCACTACAAATAGTGTGAATTTAGTCTTTGCATATACACCTTGGAGGACCTGCACACAAATTTGAAAAGCTTTATGCTGTAAGTTAATATGTTTTATTTATTTATTTTTATGTGCATGAGTGTTATGCCTGCATATATGTAAGTGCACCTGTGTCATGCAATGCCTGTGGAGGACAGAGGAGGGTGTTAGATCCTCTGGAACTGGAGTCATGGACAGTTGTTAGCCAGCATGTGGGTGCTGGGATTTGAACCCAGGTCTTTGGCAGAGCAACAAGTGCTCTCAACTGCTGAGCTATCTCTCTAGCCCCTATGCCATAAAGTTAAATTTAAAGGTTTAAATGGTGTGCATTCAATGAATTAACATTTAAAACAGGCATACTGAAAGACTGGAGGAAATTACAGTTGGTAACTATTATGGCATACTAACAGTAGTTGACATTTCCTGATGCCATGATAAATAATATTGCTCCAAAAAGTTAGTGTGGTGTGAGGACCATTCATTGAGAGATCTTGTTCCTTCAATAACTGGCCACAGAATCTTTGACAAATTATTTAAACCTTCTAGAATTCAGTTTGTAAAGTGAGGATATGGCTTGCACCTACTTCAAGGACAGCCATGTACAAATAAACTAATACTTGTAAACTGCAGTGCACTGTATTCAGCACTTGTGGGAAAAAGGCCACGACGGACACTTCTGAGGGCTTCTTTGCATTACCCATAATTTTCACAGATTCTCCTTCTTAATTTGAAGAATATTACTTGATTAAAAGGAAAAAGTTAACTCTTCTCTCTGGCATCCCATCACCTCCCAGAGCCATGTGGGGAAATACAATCCAACCACTGACCAAAGCCTACTCCCACCAAGAACTTCCTAGCTGGTACTTAAAAATTAGGCTCCTTACAATATTGTATAACTGTATTAATTCAACCGTAAACCTAAAAATTTACAGCCAATTTTGAAAGAGATGCATCTTAGCTCTTGAAATTGTTATTGAATATGTCAATGCTGTTGTAATGAAATGCTTCTTCTAATTATATGGTTATTAAATAAATAATTTTAAAAAATTAGACTCCTAACCTTCAGCAACCACCTGACCTAGTTACATTTTTCCTTCATGTCTATCACAGAGCCTACCAGGTCAATGACCAAGGAGCTCTGCAGGGATTAGAAAAACGCCATGATATTTTCTCTCCAAGAACATATAGTGTGCTTTCCTCAAAACCAAAGTTCAGTGTATCACAGAGAATGTGGGCTGAAAGGCAGACAACTTTATTACTTTTTTGAGTAATTTTAAGTTGAGGGGTTTAGTACTGATTCCTATGTGCTCTTATAAGTTTATGACAGGAAATATTGCCTGCTCACATCAAACTTAAAGAATGAACAGAATTGAAATCCTGAAGATACCTAAGTTCTCTGCATGATTCCTAGATTTACCCCAACCTCGACTAAGGATACAATAGTTCAGAGTAACAAGCACAGGGAGTAGAGACATCTGAACTCATGCAGTCTAGTCATTGTCAAAGCATTTCCTCCCTCCTTACACCTTTCCTCCTCCTTTTTGTTTGGTATAAATGTTTCCTCTCTGCAGTTTACAAAATAAATACCCAGAACTATTCTGCTGGAAGATGCTTCTTTATTCTCTCTGCACAACCCCCTGGTTGCCACTAAGGACTGTTTGAAATCATCCCCACCTAGCCCAACCTCTCACCCAGGTGGAGGAGTTCACAGGGATCACAGTTCTGCATAAACATGTCTAGTTGAGTGGCTTACTACTTCTGAAGGATGCTTGTTCTGTTGAAGGACTGTGAGAACTATCCCTTCAAAGAGAAAACACTGGTTCTATTTCTGCACTCTAGAGAGTGGTGAATGAGTCAACTCCCTTTGCCTTTAAATTTTTCTAAAAAGTAAACCACTTGTGTGCTCACTGAGCAAGCAAAGCTTAAGTTTCCACATGCCTTACTTGCCCAGCAACTTCAAGGTTTGGTTTGTCTTCTTTTTCTTCTAACTGAGACTGCCCAATGCAATAAGCCTTGAGTGACACAATACTGGATTCCCTTCTTTCCATCGCCCTCGGGGATAAGCATCCCCAGCCCTCTGAGGCACCATTCCTGGTAGGGGCCTCTCGCTGTACAGATTGCTGCAATAGGCAAGCACCATCGTTGGACAGGCTTGCAGCTGTGGTCTGCACAGTGGGGTAGGACCGCCCTGGACTGCCATCTTATCCTGGTATGAGAGTCAAGCTAGGATTGCTATTGTTTCTCAGCGTCCCATTGTGGGTGACAAGTTATCGTGATCTTTGAGACTTCTGCATAGGAAGCACAGCACATCCTGCCCTGTGTTCCTCCTACACCTACTGACATTGGTTTGCACTTGAACTGCCTTGTCAAGCTCTCCTTTGGCTTTTCAAATTTTCAACAATTGAAAATTACATTAACTTGCATCTGTTACCAATAATGTGAATCTTTTCTACCAATATAACACAGCCAGTTTATGACCTAAGTTGGCTACTTCTTATCAATATTCCTAGAAGATTCTGCAACTTTCTTACAAGAATAAACATAAAAGAGAATAAATACCAATTTATCCTTAAATAAACATTATAATTTCTGAAGCAAAACACAAAGGTTAGCAGGGCAGTTTTCCTGGGGAAAAATTTTTTTTTTCATAAAAGCAAAGGTTAATTTAATAATCTCAGTTTTTTTTCTAAGTGAAAAAGAAATAGCATCTAGTTTATATTAAAAATTATATTATAGGGGGAATGAATTCTGATAAAAAGTGAAATGAGCGACCCACAGACCTCTCTCTCCGGGAACAACCCAGCTCCTCAGTACAATCCCCAGGAGCCCTTGGGACAGCTTCCCACCCCCTCTTCCTTTGCATCTCTGGGTGGCACAGCCACCAGCTGCCCTAGACCAGCATCTTTCCTGGGCCCAGCTCCTAGGCCAGTCCAACCTCCAAATTCCTGAGGTCAAAATCTTTCCTGGAGGGATCCAGACCTTAGGGGAAAGGCTGAGAGCATCTGGTCCTCATCTGACTTGGGCCTCTGTGGGAACTCCTGAAGACAAAAGCAATCTGGCCACTCCAATATAAAATGAAAAGAGAGAACCGGAAGCTTAGATGAACCAGCTTTTCATGCCCAAAAAGTAAACCACAAAGACACATAAAGTTTTTAAAAAGAAGCAGACCTAAACTTGAAGGCTTGAGTCTCACACAAGAATCAGAAACTACAAAAGAGATTCACATGTCAAAACCACAGAGAAAAAATAATAACATGAAAAACCAAACTAACACATCCCCACCAGATACCAATTGTCCTCTAGAGGAGTAAGTACAATGAGAACCCCCTAGAGATAATGCAGGACATGGAACTCAAAAGA